GTATTTTCCATCCAACACGTGACTCCCAAGGTTAAGGTATACTCAGACAAGCCCGGATTCTGTGCAAAAACTCAAAAACCCCAAAAAGGATTAATCATCCTCCTTAAGAGCATAAACATTTGCAAGGGCCACCCTAACATAATAATTGTGCCCTAAAACTTTTATGAACCTCCCAGCAGGGTCTCTAACTGTCTTAACATGAACAATGGGAATATCTTTATGAAAAAGAAAATGCCACACCTCTTGACTGATTAAGAAAGGATTAAAGAAATAGTTCACCAGTCCATCTTTTTATTTGTCTCAAATGAGTTTCTTGCCAATAAATTAAATGTGGATCGAGATGGCATAAGTCAGGGATGGACAATTGGCACTTTTGTCATGCATCTGGTTATGAAGTGTGTGGTGCTCGTGGCCCCTCTCCAGCATTTAAATTGCCCATCCCTGGCAAAAGTAATGCAGAACCTTACGATGCTTAATTAGGATATTTAACCATAAACAGTTGAGGCAGGTAAATAGCCTACAGAGGATGATTTATTAGGTTGAGCCATCTGGAAGTAAACATTTTGGCAAATAGAAAATAAAGAGCAGAGAAGTTGCATCAAAACAAAGAAGCACTACAGCAAAAGTATAAACCTGAAAATCTGGAAAACGCACCAACCCAAATCCCAGTAAAACAAAACGAAAGAATACCTGCCCATTCGCTTTACAGTTTGCTCAGGCTGCTGGCACCCCCCACAACCAGACTTGGTTTACACGGTTTTCACCCGAAGATTCTGCACACTTTGGATTTCAACTCTTAAGATGTAGGGCACCAAATCACTGTTCAAACATGTAACAGTGGCAGTCTGTGGACAAAGTCTTAGTAGCAATAAATATATTATCATCAGGAGCCCCCGTAAGGCACTCTGATGTCACAGATGTCAACCGGAATTGCGGATAAAGTGTTTTTTTCAAAAATAATTGAATGGGGTGAGACTAAACCCCTTGTCTCCCATTTGTGTCTTCAAACACTTTTAATTCTTTTCTTTGTCCAATTATCTCTCAGCAAATGTCATGATGATGCTTAACAGTGTGCATGTTTTACAAACACCAGTGTATTTCACCTGTGCCACACGAGATATACAGTGCTTGACCCATTTCCAGAACAACACCAGATGGATGGAAAATGGTTGTTTCACAATTAGACACAATACTCTCCCTGTGTACCTTGTGGAGTTATAGGTTGTCATTGCTTCTTAAAAAGGTACTTTTGACAGATTGTCATCAGATATATTTCTTTTTAATTAATTTCCCCACTTTTATGATTTAGTCATTTCTTTTCTTTTTTATTCCTTGGTCATCTGCACAGATGGAATGATTGGCCAGGTGTCGCCAGAAGCATTCTTCTCCAGACTGCAGACAGAGGGCAAAAAAGCAGAAGCTGAGTCAGAGGTCAGTTCTAAACTATTTAAATACATTGTTTACTTCACATATAAGTTTAATTCATTCAGTGATAAAACCTGTCACTCATTTTACTTGTATGATAAATCAGTACATTGCAGCCCACATACGTACCCATGAGCAATGATTTTTCTCCCAATTTTCTTCAATTTAAAAAAAAAAAAATTTGCATATAGGTCTTGGCCGACTGTGGTTTGATCATAAAGAAAATATATTAATAATTCATACAGCTAATAAAATTTATGGCCAGCAAATGGCAGCATTGGATCTATTTTGGAGGAGCTCACTGTGTGTCAATTTATGATTATACTGTATGTGTTATTATTAAGACACTATGTATCCTTATGCCCACCACAAATTTAAATTAGTATCCAAACTTGCTTATACACATAGAGAGAGGAGAAGAGAGAGAAAGGGAATGAGGAAGGGAGCGACAAGAAAGTGAGAGAGACGGAAGAGAAAAAAAATATAAATGCTTGTCATACATTGACTTGGTAGCACAATGACGTTCATCTTGTGATAAACCGAAAACCTTAAACCTTTGAACTTTGAGTTGATGTTGAGATGCATGTACCGTATCCCTATATAAAAGATGTACGTGTATTTATATCTCTCGGACTGATGAGTACTCAGAATTTAACAGGTCTTATCAGGAGATAAGAGTGGCCAGTGCTCATGTCATTAAAACACCCTTGACTGTTCACACATCACTCTCCCAAAAGATCGGCAGAATTCAAGTCAAGTCAAATGTATTTATAGAATGGTGTCACTCAGACCCATTCTAGGTTCATTGGTTGCCTATGGGGTACAAAAACTCCTTATTGACCTTTATTTATGCCATTGGAGGCCTAAAAATTGAAATTCACGCAGCATTAAACAATCCCCGGTCCATCAAAATGTCAGGGCTGTTTTTTGAGAATTCATATCTGCTGTAACACACCTGCAGTCTTAGAGTCTGTTTGACATCTGTTTGACTTCTAATTTGAAACACTTATGCCCCCCTGTTAAAGCACTTTCAATAAGAGCTGTATCTTTAATTACCGTTACATCGAGACACTCTTATACCCCTGTTGAGAACTGTTTAACAAATACTTTGTGAACAAGTAGTTACTTGGACAAATACCGTAATTTCCGGACTTTAGACCTCACCTCATTATAAGCCACACCAACTACATTTTTAAAGGAAAAAACATTTTCTACACATCTAAGCCGCACCTGTCTAGTAGCCGCAGGTGCCCACATTGTAACATAAGATATTGACAAAGAAAGAAAGCGTTTTCAAAGTTTTAATAACATACCTAAACTTTTCTTCCCAAATAGTCAGTCACCTGTCACACGGCAGCACCACGGCAGTAAAACAGCACTAACAGGGCTGCTTAAAAAAATATAAAAGTCACTCTTCGCCGTCGAGTACAGTAATGCTTTTTTTTTTTTTCTTTTTTTTTCTTCAATGGAAAAATTCTCGTTGCTGGAACACTCAGTCAGCCATTCCTTCATATTAGGCTTTCTACCATCTACACCTTCATGTCAACTTTCACAACAATGTCTTTCAGGAGTTTTTTTTGTTTTGTTTTTTGGCACAGTAATCGTTGGTGGATGCAGTGCAGCCCAAAACACAGGTCAAATGCACCCTCTTATGGCCTGCTGTTTTCAGTGTGACAGATGATAGCGTCTTCCTCGACAGATGTATATCAACTTGTCTCACTCTTACCTTTTATGTTCGAGTGCACCCTGGTGGCAATTCAAAAAATCGCTGCTTCATTAAATTAGCCACAGAGTTAAAAGCGTGTGACAAAGGTCGCGGCTCCTAGTCCGGAAATGACGGTACCTATTTGTTTCACTCTTGCACCTCTGTCTGGGCCTCTTTGACAAATACCATCTGAACAAATGCTTATTTGAAGGAAGACACACTTTTTGGTTGATCGACGCTTGCACCTCGATGATATCACCGGGCAGGGACTGTTTGATGAAATAAACACCTACCCCAACAAATATCTTGTTGAACAGGTACCTACCTAATCGAACAAATAAACCATTTTGAAACACTCTTTGTGTAGCCTCTATGGATAAAAACATAAAAGTAGTACCTCCTGGCATTTACTACAACACACACAACATCGTGTTAATAAATTTGAAACGTGAGTCCCATTCTTTTCAATCAGAAAATGTATATATACAGTATAATAGGCAGGGTAAACAATTCAAACTACAGATGAATAATAGTATATATTATAACCTTTCTGAATATTTTTTTTTACTTTCAACCACTCAAAATGCCCAGCCCATGCTGTATGTATGTATGTGTGTGTGTGTGTGTGTGTGTGTGTGTGTGTGTGTGTGTG